ACATGTATTGATACATATATTGTGAAAGTTTCTCTGTGTATAAAAATACATTTCCCCATCAAATTAGCGAGTAAATGCCGGGACTGGTTTGGCTCAGTGGATAGAGCGTCGGCTTGGGGACTGAGGGGTCCCGGGTTCGATTCCGGTCAAGGGCATGTACCTTGGTTGCGGGCACATCCCCAGTGGGGGGTGTGCAGGAGGCAGCTGATCGATGACTCTCTCTCATCGATGTTTCTAACTTGCTATCTCTCTCCCTTCCTCTCTGTACAAAATCAATAAAATATATTTAAAATTTCCAAAAAAAAAAAATTAGCGAGTAAAAACCAAACCAAACAAATGTCAGTGCTACGGGGTCTCATTCAGCTAGCAATGCCACTTTGAGCATGCCCTCTCTGCCCCAATGTACTTTTTATCTGCTGCACAGAATTGTTTGTTCCTGTCTTTACCTATATATAACTTCTTCAACTACTTTCTGTTTGATCTCCTATCATTCCTTTGTCTTCCATCACTGCTGCTTTGTACCTCGCCTCTTTCTGATTTCTATTGTAGGAGATTCCTAAGAAGCAGTCAGCAGGCTCCAGGGTTAGGAGGAACAGCACTGCCTAGCATTGTACTAGTTCAGGGCCATGACGAATCTTGACTGTGTGCCCATCTGGACCCCTCCCCTCAAACCCCACTTAACTCCATTTTAATACTGTCATACCTTCTGCGAGTCCTAGTTACTTATTGTTCCACTTTCTGAAAGAAAAACCAGGGCAGGGTTTAGACGTCTGGAAATGTGCATTCCAGTTTGGCCTGCCTCTTGCCATGTCATTTTCTCTCCTTAGTCTTAGATAGCAACTCCCATCATTTCCCCCAAGATTCCCTCCAACTACTGCTTAACCTCTACACCTCATCTCTCCCCAGTTTCCTGACCTCACTATTATAGCCACACTGCAGACCTTCCATGTAGTTCCCTTTGTCAGGAACATACCTTCCCTACTCCTGTACCTGGCTAATTCCTACTCATCCTTTAGACCTCAGCTTAGAATCAGCCTTCAAGGAACTCTTCCTTGATTTCTTGATCTGGGTTAGGACGCTCATATGAGTTCCCATAGTATCCTGCCCCCTTCTTCACCCCCACCATTCACCTTTTTTTTGGAATTGTTTACTGTATGGTTTGCCAGATAGAAAGTATGCCTAAAGGTAAGGTTCCCGTCTTCTTATTTACTTCTGTGCCCCTTACGTTTACACATAGTTGGTTCTCAATAACTACTGGCTGTTGGTGAAGGAAAACAACTAAGCTGGGTGTCCTAGGAAGTTTCCTCAGGTTGCTATTACTTTCACCCCTTTTGCCTCAACTGTGACAGGATATATAATAAGACAAACATTTCTATTCATCACCAATCTTTTCTTGGTTAAGAATATGGACTCTGAGGATCGATTTCCTGTTTTTGAATCATGGCTCTGCCATTTAATGGCTATAAAACTTTGGGCAAGTTACTTAACCTCCCTAGGCCTTAGTTTCTTCATGTATAAAATGAGGGTGAAAACAATAGCACCCACCTTAGAGAGTGGTTGTGAGAATTAGATGCATTCATACACGTAAAAGACTCAAGAATTACCGGCACATGTAGACACTTAGTGCTAGCGATTACTAGTACTATTTTCAAACAATTAGGGATAGGGGTGAATTCAAGAAACCAACGTTAATCCCCAAATTCTGCTTCTCACGAGAGTGGTCCTATTCACTTTGGGCTTTCTGTTTTGTATAATGTTTGGTGAAAATTGCTGAAGCCAAGTTGATTTACTGTGCCAATTATAACTTTGACACTGGCAGGAGAGTGAGGCAAGATTCATTTATACATTCAACAAATATTTACTGAATGTCTATTTTGTGCTAGACGTAAAGGAAAATAAGATAGTCACAGCTGTTACAGAGCTCTCAAAAAATTTAGAAAAGAAAGCTAGAGAGGCTGGAGGCGAGGGGTGGGGGGAGAAAAGGGAAGGCAGAGTTTCCAGTGGGTGTAGCACAGCAGAAGAGGATCATGAGAGAACAGACATGCTATAGCAGGATTTTAAAGCACTGGGTATAGGATGTGTCATATAAATACTCCCCTCCATTCCCTAAAAAATCTTCACTAAACTTTTCATTGCTCAGAGAGCCTGAAGGAGGGGAAGATAGCAGATATCTGGGTTGCAGCTGCTGGGGGAAAGATGCTGTTAGCAAAAAAGGCCTTCCTTACTCTTGTGTGCTACTAGTAAGGACATATTGCAGTGTATACAATATGTGACAATTATAAATAATACCGCATGCATTGCATAACATAGGGCTCTTTACAATGAATATGAATTAAACAGTACCAATAGCAACCATATTAACTAAAGAGAAGAGACATTATTCAAGGTAGAAAACTTGGGACTCTGAGGGAAAAGGGGACATAATGAAGCTGTGAGTCAGATATGACCACCAAACTGCAGTCTAACTGCTGATTCCTTGGCAATTATAACTTATTATTTTATAAACCTCTGCTTATGGCAATGCAGACTTTCTTAAACATAAATTTCCTAAGGCTAGGTGTAGGGAAGGAAAGGAAATGTGTGTACTTATTGCTCCCATCCTTTTGACTTCCTGTTTTTCATGTTTATGTCATTGCCATCTGTTACTACTTTTTAAAGGAACAATTTAAAGAAATATATATAGTAGAAAAGCAGCAGCCTCAGAAGTAATCAGTCCTCAAGCTAAATAAAACAAAACTATCAATTTGTCTGAATTTCCAAGAGTGAAATAAATAAAGCTCTGCTGGAATTTACCTACACAAATTGAGACTTTAGCAAGGAAGAGAAATAAACTAGTCTTTTTTTCTTCTTAGATTTATTTACTGTATAAACTCTGGAGTTTCTACATCTTACCATGTGACTACTGACTAAAAAGATATATGGTTGTTTATTAATATTCTCAAAACGCTATGCAAACTCACATCACCTTGGGTATATTTCCCCCCAATGCTATAAAGTAAATATGGAAGCATTTTGTAGTTAACAAGGCTAAAATATGTTAATTCATATAGTTGGCTTCAAATAGGATTTACTTTAAATCATTAATAGGAAAATGAAGAGAGCATGGGTGCTCAAGCATAAAATATATATGAGTGGTTTTCTTTTTTAGGCCCTATCATCTGATGTCATCTGATGTTAAAAATTTAAATTTGATAATGCAGAAAATGACCTAACAATTTGCAGTATCATTAAACAATAAAGCTAATGCTCCAGATTTTTGACAGTAGTACTGAAACTATGATTTTTAAGTACCATTTTCAAATGACAGGATTGTGAAAAATTTGATATTTTGAATTGGGTAGAATCAGAAAAGAGCTTGCTTGTCCTTTTATCTATGGGACCATGTTTTTAAAACAAAAAATTAAGATAGAGTCCTAGCCTGTCTAGCTAAATGGTTAGAGCATTGGGCCTTGGACTGAAGGGTTTCGGGTTTGACTCTGGTCAAAGGCACACACCTCGGTTGCAGGCTCTATCTCTGGCCCAGATTGGGGTACATGGGAGATGAAACCAATCGATGTGTCTTTCTCACATTGATGTTTCTTTCATTCTGTCTCCCCCTTTTAAAAGAAACAATTTTTAAAAATCTATGGGAAAAATACCCTTGGGTGAGGATTAACAACAACAACAACAAATTAAGATAGAGGATATTAGAGCAAAGCAGAGACAAACCTAGATTTCTTTAAATGGATGTAAAATTACCAGTGAAATTCCTGAAGGGCCAAATAATACAGAAGTATATAGTCTTGCCCTCTGAATAAGATAGGAATATATTTCTTTAAAAGCAGGAAAAAAAAAAAAAAGGCTTTAGAAACTCCTTTACAAAAGCCTCCCAGTATCTAACCGGCCTCAGCAGGGCACAGTCTCCTATTCCCAGGCGGCCGGTGCGACATGCGTCGTCAGCCGCTACCAGAGGCCGGAAAACCCAGGCGGGCATGAAGCCTCAGCTTCTGCCTTTCTGCCACCAGAGAGAGTTTCAGAGAAAAGGCAATGTAAAGGGCACATTTTAGTCAGGTGTTAATCACAACTACCTCCTTAAATATGTTTGATTATAAGCTTTCAACTTAGGTGTGAGTGGCCCATTGTTTTTCTTTCTGGGAACCTAAAAAACACAAAGACCTCGGTGTCACAAATGTCTGTCAAATAAGAAAATGAAGTGATTTGGGAAACTATGAAATTCATGCCAGCTTTTCTTGGGTCACTTTACAGGTTATAACTAAATTCATGGCAAAGGTAAGCGATTCAAACTCATGCTAAAATGCCCTGAGTCTATTTCACTTTAAAGCATCCTAAGCATGCTTTACTTTGGAAAGCATCGACAGCAATGAACTCCTATACCAACAAGACTCTTAAATGGGAGTTACTCATAGGATGCACCCTTGAGCAACGATCACACTGCACTGTGCTCTTGAGAATATTCTAGAAGCATCACTGGGAAGGGCTGCTTCTCTGCAGGGTAGAGAAATGAGGTGCAGAGGAGGCAGCTGCTTTGGAGGGAGAAACACGGCTTGCGTTGTAGAATGCTTTCCTGCTGGAACGGCTTTGCCGAGAGCTGCGTTCCTGGAGCTTTAAATCCTGGGCCACTGCACATCCCTGTGCCGACGAACGTCACAAAGCACCTGTCTCGGGGGTAACGAGAATAAAAACTTTGGAAAAATTAAATGCCTAAACCTCCAGATAGCCCAGATGACACACATGCAATAGCATTTCACTTAAAATGTACTTAACCACCCTGCATCGAACTAAGGCACAGAAACTTCAAATTTTGCACCCCCTCCAAAGTTGGGAAAGTGCAAGGGTCTCGCGGCAGTTCCGGGGATGTACTGAGACCCACTTTGTTACAAGTGTATCCAGTGTCCCCAGCAGCAGGGACTTCTGGGTCCCGGCTTCCCGCTTTCATTTGCTCTGCGGCTCCCGGAGGCGGCGGTTGTGCTATGAAGGCAGACCCCGCCAAGGCGGCCAAGATGCTGCGCACCCCCAACTGCGCGCGGTGCCGCAACCACGGCTACCTGGTGGCAGTCAAGGGCCATGCCGGCAAGTGTCGCTGGAAGCAGTGCAATTGCGAGAAGTGCTTCCTCATTACCGAACGCCAGAAGATCATGGCCGCGCAGAAGATGCTCAAGAAGCAGGCCTCCGAGGAGGACCGGGAGCTGGCCTCCAGGGCCGCGGCCATCGGCCCGGCCTCCAGCCTGCGCCCGCTGCCTCCGCTCACCGCTGCTGGCGACCTGGAGCCGGGCCCCGGGGGCCGCGTGGCCGCCTACCTGCTGGAGAGGCCCCCGCGTGGCCCCAGCCCGGGCCCCAGTGCCTTCCAGCCGGTCTTGGGTGGCCGCGGCCACATGGGCCCGAGCGACCTGGCGGCCGTGGCCAGGCCCAGCTCCGTGAGGCCCCTGCTCGGGCCGGAGGCCGCCGCGGGCCAGGGAGGTGCCGGTCCCCAGGAGCCGAGCCGGCCTCTGCAGCCCGTGCCCATGCCGCCGCCGCCGCCGCCTCCGCCGCCGCCGCCGCCGCCTTTCACCTTCGGTAAGACCCCCGGGCCCCTTCTTGTGCCATCGGTCCCTCCCAGGGCTGCAGCCTCCTTGCACCTCATGGTGACTGGGGGTGGGGGAGGTGGGGAAATGCTTTCTGAGTTAAATTTGCTTTCAGAAACCTTTCTCCACATACAGATTTGGATTGAGGGCCTTTTTGCATAAAAGCAAAAGAGATAGAAAAGAGTCGGTGGTGAAGATGGCTTTCAATATTTAGCTACACTCTTTGCCTTTCCATCTTGCAAGAAGAAAAAAATGGCCTCCAGTATTTAGCTCCAGTTTTTGCCTTTCCATCTTGCAAGAAGGAATAAAATGGCCTCCAGTGCGCTTAGCTGGGCGCCTCATGGAGACATTGGTCCTACTGCGCTTGCGCATCGCTTCCCGCTCTTTTCTCCCGCTGCAGGCACCTCCCCCACAGCAAGAACGACTCTGTGTGTGAGCCAGCGCCATGCTGACTGCGCCTGCGCACTCTCCCCCATTTCCAGGAGCTGGAGGCTTCCCAGAAGGCCTCCCTTCCTCTGGGCCTTGCTCCAACCCGCCTGCGCGCTCTTTCCCGCTCTTTTCTTGAGCGGGAAGCTACCAATGGCAGGACTTCCTGCAGACGGATGGGCTGGCTAAGCTATGACTGCGCCTGCGCACCCTTCTCTTTCTGAAGGCCCCGCCCCACACCGGAGCCTGGCCCAGTGCGCCTGCGCACCTCATTTTGAATCCATTCCCCGGATGTGGGTGGGGATGCGACAGCCTTTCTGCTCCGCAAAGGAGAAGACCGTTCATTGACATATTGCCTATTTTTTTCTCCTGCCCCCATGTGCATAAGTTACAATGTTCTCTATGTAACAATGTGAATTTTACTTTCACTGTTAAAGTACTGCAGGTCACATGTAGGTCTGAGGCTTTTAAAAAACGGCCGTTTGAAAGTGCAGACCCCTGCTGGCGCTCCCCATGGTGTGCAATAGAAAGAGCACAAGTCCGAGTCAGGTGACCGAGGGTGGTCACTCCGTCACCTTAGGCGAGCTGCTGCTTCTGGCTCAGTCTCCGGTCCGTGTGCTAAGGAGATCGGCCATTTCTGCCTTCTGGGATATTCTAGGAAAATCTGGTCCCCGGGAACTAGATGAGGAGGACAGACCTGAAATAGCAGTCCTGTAGGAGGATACCTTTCCACTGGCACAGTGCTTCCTTATTTCATCTCTCCGCGCACAGGGGCTGAGCACTTAACTGCCGGACACGGTGGCAAAAGCTGCGGGGGAGTCAGATTCCTTCCCTCAGCATCTTGTCTTGCGAGAGGAGCAGCACTAATAAAGAATCGCACATCAGGGTAGAGAGCTCTCCTAGCTAACGGCTTAGCTGAGGTCCTCAGGAGGAGGACTGAGGACTTAGAGGCAAAGTGGTTGAAGGGAGAGCCCTCCGAGGTTAGGGGAGAGCATCTGCAAGGGCTTTGAGGGGGATGCGACAGAGAAGAAGCTGCCAGGTCCTCGCACTGGAGGAGGCTGGAGGGGAGGCAGGGTGCCGCCTGGGGCTTCATGGCTGTGCTGAGGGCTTTTCCTAAGAACCTGGGACGGGGCTGAACCGTGTAAAATGCAGGGAGGGTGCAAAGCATAATGGATGTGGGAGCTCTTTGTAAATGGATCTGAGCATTTACCCCGTCTTTGGACAGTACTGGGATGCTTCCCCCCCCCCCCCCCTGCTCTTTGTGTTTTTAATATTTCTCCCATTGCTTGCTCTTTTAGGGCTCTCTGTGAGCATCAACTCGGATGCTATGGTGCGGTCTGAGTACCTGGAGAGAGAGCCTGCCAAGCTGTATCCCAGCTGCCCCGGCCTGTTCTCCTACCGCCCATTCCCGATGGGCTACCAGGACCCACCCCCAGGCCTGGGGATCTCCGTGCAGCAGGGCTTCCGGCATGTGTCCTTCAGCCACTACCACGGAGGAGGCTCGGTGAGTCCCATCCCGACCCTGGGTTCCTCCTTATCCCGTCTGCTCCACTGCTCCACATGCTCAGTCCCAGAAAGCCATTGGTGTGCCCGCTCTGTGCCAGGCCCCTGGCCTGTACAGTGTGCACCTCTGGGAGGGCACGCACATAGATGAGTCTCATCATGTGTAACAGGCCAGCGTGAGCTGTGGCATTTGCTTTTCCGAGGCTAAAAGGCTCTGAAAAGAAGGAATGCAGACTCCCAGGTTAGCCGGGAGCACCGACAGTGACCGTCGGCCTGGACTGGTGGAAGGCTGGGGCACAAGGGCTCTTCGTTTTGCTGCTTCCGGGAAGGAAATACCTCGGTCCTAGTGCCATACAGTTGAGGGCAGAGCCAGGAGCAGCTGTGGGTCCCCTGCCCCCTGCAGGGCATGGCCCCCTGGAGACTGCAGAGGGTTTTCAAGAGGAAGTGGCAGTTTGAGCTTCGTCATGGAGAATGTGGAAACCTTTCCCCAAATACCTATCCCCTAATACCTATGAGTTGAAAGAAGGAACGAGATGTAATCCTTTGATGAGGCCGGTGGTGAGTTACTAACTGGTGTGCTCTGTAAGCCTGAAGTTTTTTTTTTTTGTTTTTTTTTTAAGCCTGAAGTTTTGAACAATGACGGTAAGTCAGGCCATCCCTGTCGTATGAGATACACGTCGGGGTGGCCAGGTTTTGTGACTTTGGTTGCCAGCTCCTTCCAGACCAGGACAGTTTAAAGCCCTCTGCCTTGTGGCAACTCCTGATGGACATCAGAATGACAGGGCAGTGAAGGCCTGTGTGACAGCCCTGACTTTGGGCCCAGAAGGCTGAATCTGGCGGGGGGAGGTTGGCTCAAATGCAGCTCCAGTGCCTGGGAATGTAGACCACCGTCACCTCAGAGCTGAAAGCCCAATCCTCGGGCTACAGAAGCGTTTCCCCTTGGATAGAGGGGAGGGAGCGGAAAGCAATAAAGAAGGAAGATGGAAGGTTGACAGTCACATAGTGGAGCGTTGGCCACAGGGTGTGGGGCCAGTACTGCGGGGTTCCAGCTCTGTCCGGGCAGGCCAGGCACCCAGGATGCTAGTCTCCAGTCTTGCTTCAGCCTCAGTAGTATCTCTTCTCTCTTTTAGATATTGTAAACTTTTATTTATAAACCATTTTCCATTGTTCAAGGGGGGAAAGTCTGAAGACCACTGGTCTTGATCATTTCTAGGTGCCCACCCACCTCTAGCTGAGCCTCCAAAGCACGTGCTGTCATCCCACTGCGGGGCAGAGGAAGAGGCTCAGAGGCCTTATGGGTTTGTCCAATGTCACACAACGGGAGAGTGAGGCACTGGGATCGGAACTGCACAGCAGATTAGTGACAGAACAGGATGCACACCTGGATTGCCCTGACTTTGGAGCCCAGGCGCTTTCTGCTACCCTGAGGCTGTCTCTTAGGCAGCGGTAAACAAAACCCTCCGCCCGCCTGCCCCACCCGGAGTCTGTGGGTGCTGGCCACCCCGTGCAGCCCGGGGGCCGCGTGGCAGCTCTCGCCTCCACACAAAGAGAGGGTTCCGGCCAAGTGGAGTGCTCCCACCGTCTGCTCACATAGAAGCCTGCGTCCAGAGCAGCGCTCTGAGCGACAGGCCTGCCAGACGGCCATTGTGAAGAGTGCAATCTCAGTCGGTTTATCTGGGCCCGAGCTGGCACCTCAGGCCCCTGGCAGGAGCTGTGATCCAGGGAGAAGCAGCCAAGTAGCTTGGAATTAAAGGGCTAATAGTCCCTCCTCCCCCGACCCTTTCCTGTCTGGATAGCCCAAACAACACGCATTTGTAAAGCTGTCTCAAACCCAAGAGCCTAGGAATTGCTTCCAACCTTGTCCTGCTCCCCCTCCCAGGCTCCGAGGTAACCCTGAGTGACATCTTCCACCTTTTATTTCTGGCTCTGTCCCACCTGCTGCTTCTTCCTCCCACAAAAGATGACAGGCCTGGAGCTGGACAGACCTGGGTCCAGTCGTACTTGTTTTTACTAGTCTGTGGCCTGGGGAAGCTGCCTCCCTCCGAGCACCTCCCTCAGCCCTTCGACTGAACAACAGGGTGCGAGTGCCTACGCACAGAGGGAGGTGTGTGCACACGAAGTGCCTGCACGGGGTCTGGCAGGTCGTAGGTACCGGGGAGTAGGCTCTCCTCCCTCCTCGGTGGTCAGATGGAGTCAGAACACGCTGCGTTAATCTAAGGAGATTTCTGCAGACTGCCCCAAGGCTTTAATGTGCCACATGTGACTCACCATTGTGGTGAGGCCATGTGTGGAGTTTTACAAACTCCCTTGACAAAGAACACTTAAAAGCACTTAAAAATAATCTTGTAGGACACGAAGGTTCTCTGGAGCAGAGCGTGGGAAGCGCTGCTCTGTGTCTGGATGGAGAAGTGAATGATAGGAACCACACCTGACGTGCATTCCTATTCTTTATTACATCCGTGTCTCAGATGAACCGAGCTGGGCAGGCATCCCCCCTCTGGATCCCTTCCCTCCAGCCGCGGGCCCTGTGTCAGGGGGCTGGCTTCCAGCTTCCGGCGAAGCCACAGCAGCACAGGTGGCTGCTGGCGGGAGCCACTCTTCCTGAGGGCCCAGCTTCGCTGACTCAGCCACAGCTGCCCGGCACCCCAGACAAGGCCCCTTACGGACAGCGGGACACAGGTGGTTGGGACGTGGGGGTCCAGCTCTGCCTCAGCCTCGCACCAGCTCTGTGGCCCTGGTTTTCATCATTACAATGAGAATCGAAAGGATGAAATGAGGTAACCGATCTAAGCCGAGAGAGAGGGCTCAGTCAGGGTGACCGGACGGCTGTCCCCAGGCTTATCGGAGGTGCGCCTGCGTTCCTTCTTGCCTTCAATCATGTTTGCTGAGCCCCTCGTTTCAAGCCCCTGGAGCCCCCAGTTAGAGAGAACAGATCGTGTTTGATCGGCCCATCTGGCTAACGCTCTCCCCCTTGGCTTCTCTGCTGAGTGCCCGTGCAGGTGCCGGAGCCAGTGGACAACTTCCAGCCGAGCTACCCCCCGCTGCCACCACCACTGCCACCACCGCGCCCACTGCTGCCGCCACCATCACCCCTGCTGCCGCCGCCACCGCCGCCGCCTCCGCCACCGCCACTGTCGCCCCCGCCCCCCATCCTCCCTCCAGGCTTCCTCGCCGGCATCCACTTCCTCCCGCCGCCCCCGCCGCCCCCGCCACCAGCGACTTTCTCCCTGGCCGTCCTGTCTGAGGGGGAGCAGGAGGCCGCGGGTAAGAGCACGGGGAGCCAGGGGGGCTTTCGGGAGGAAGGGGGCCAATCAGCACAGAGGTGGGAGCGGGGGATGGAGAAGAGAATTAAAATGTGCCGGGCCTGGGTGCGTGTTTTCCTTATACCCCTCCCCTAAATCCTGTAGGCAGGCAGCAAGGAGGGGGCCCCTTTCTCAGGCGAGGAAACAGCAGCCCAGAGGGGTTCTTATAGATATAAATGGCAGAGCTCAGACTTCCAGGACTATGTGTCTGGCTCTGTCAGTGCCCCTGAGCACAGATGTGGAGGGAGGTGCATGTGGTGAGCTCAGAGCCGAGGCGGAACAGCAGCAGGACAGCAGGGTCTGGCAGGGTGAGTCCTCCTAGGCCACTCTGGAGACAGACCCTGTCCCAGCTCTGCCACGTGCACTGGGCGATCTTAGTCACTCACACCCCCTCCTAGTAAAACTTCATCTGTAACATGGGCCTGTGAAGGTCACCTGAAATTTTAGATGTGAAAATGCTTTGAGGACTTTGTGTTTTTAGGGCCCTTTGCAGAATGAATTTAACCATCTCTGGGTTGTGTTACTTTTATGTTCAAGGATTTTTTTCCCTTTTAGTCCTCCCCTGAGGTTAGTCTGGCGATGTCTTCATTTTACTGAAGAGGAAACTGAGGCCCATTGCACACCTGCCGTGTGTGAGACACATCTGTTAGCTGGAGAGATAGACGGTCTAGTGTGGGTGAAGCACACTGGCCCTGGTGCTGGACGGCCTGGGCATAAGTCCTGGCTCCAGCACTTACCGGGGGCAAGCAGAGCCACTCCTTGGTGCCTCCGCGTCTTTATCTGTCCAAGTGGACTGATAATGTCCCACCTCATGAGGTTATTCTGAGACTTAACCAGAACCTGAAATGACGAAGCCATTAGTTCTCACAGTCCCCTGCTCCCATGCTGTCCTCATGTTGCAAGGTGGGCACCATTTCATTAACAGGAGGAGGAACTGGGGTTCAGAGCTTCAGGGTAGCTTGTTTCATGTCCTCCCCCCCCCCCCCCCCCCAGCCTGTGGCAGGCAGAACTGGAATTTGAACTTGAGCCTGAGTCATATGATGATAGAATTCAGCCTCCTAACAAATCCAAGGCAAATTAATTCTCCTTTGGGCCCGGGAATGATGAGGATGCCTTGAAGAAAGATCACACCTGAAAACAGGCAATTTTCCCTGTTTCTTAATGCATCCCCGCTTTTTTGTTCTTTGCAGATGACCAGGCTGAAGCGGTGCCACCTGAGCCCAGCCAGCCAGCATCTCAGGAGCAGTCCAACTAGGCCCGCCTCCGGCCGGGAACACGGGCAGTGGGAGGGCGGCAGCAGTGGTTTTCTTGTCCGTGTTCAGGGGCCTGTGGGAGGGTGGACAGTGATAGACATAACATAGTTAATTTTCATTTCAAGATAGGGAGGAAAGAGGAGGGTTCTAAGTTTCAATCCTGAACTGTGAGCTGAGCAGGAGAATGGAGGATGAAGTTAACCAGGACTCTGAGGAGTGGGGGCTGGTGGGAACTCCGTTTAGGAATGAATTTAACCATCTCTGGCTGTGCTGCCCGTTGGCGACTCGCCCTCGGAAGCGTTCTTTGATTTTCGAGGGCCCCACGGCAGGACAGGAGGCACCATGCATTTCAGCCTTCTGCCTCCGCTGGTCCCGGGCTGGCAGCACAGACATCAGGCTTCCAGCACACGCAGTGGCTGGTGCGGGCAGCCAGGACCAGGGCACTGACAGCGGGTTCTGAGTGTCCTTCTCCGCTGCCCGCCTCCTACTGCCCCTCGCCCCTCTCCAGGGGCCTTTCCTAGGGAGCATTCTGACCCCTGGGGCTACTTCACCCCCTCCACAAAGTTTAAGCCATTTATAGGCATCGTTTCTGGTTTTAAAAAAATGCATTAACGTTTTACCATTCGGTGTTTTTATAGTGATTGCCAGCTTTAAAAAGTAGGCCATTTGTAAGCACAGATACAGCTCTCAGAATAGAGTGGTGCTTCCAAAATACCTGCGATCTCAGAAATTCTTCTCTGGGGCCAGTTGACTGTTGAAATAAAATTCGCAATAGAAATCCGTGTGAAAATTTATTGTGTTTAAATCCACGTGGAAGGCAGTGTTGGGTAGAGGAGTCGGGACCCGGCTTTGCGGCCTGTCAGCCTGCTTCTGGGCACTTGCTTAGGCCAGTCCTGCCCTGCACCTCTTCCCTTCCCTTCAGTTACCAAGTGACTGGGGCCAGACTCTCTTCAGTTGTTGTTGTTATTATTTTAAGAAAGGAAATTTTAGGAAAATTTAGGAAATCTGATGTAGACACATAAAATGTAAAGATGTCTTTTTGTTTCCCGTCCCCAGCTCCTGTCCTGGTCCCTGCAGAGGGGCATGGCTTTAAAATACAGAACGTGGTCCCATCCTGCTGCTTAGGATTTAGGGGCTCTTCCCCTGGTCTCACTTGTCCCTTCATTTAAACATCCGGCACCTCTACTGGAGTTCGAGTCTGGCGATCACCAGCTCTGCCCGTGGGCCTGGGGTCCCGTAGAAACGTGCTGTCCGGTGGCATGGGCGGGACAGAGGAAGAGGAGCTGTGGGCAGGCCGAGAAAGCCTGGAAAGTCAAGGCTTCGTCTGCCTTTTATTTTTTAATCCCCACCCACGGTTATTATTTTTCATTGATTTTCAAAGCAAGTGGAAAGGAGGGGAGAAGGGGAGAGAGAGAGAAATATCAATGTGATAGAGACACATCCATCGGTTGCTTCCTGCACTTGGGGATTGAACCTGCAACCCAGGTACATGCTCTTGACTGGGGATTGAACCACTGACCCTTTGCTGTACAGGACAAACCTCTAACTGAGCCATGCCACCCAGGACCTCACCTTTTTTTTTTTTTTAAATATATTTTTATTGATATTTTATAGAGAGGAGAGAGGGATAGAAAGCTAGAAACGTCGATGAGAGAGAAACATCGACCAGCTGCCTCTTGCACACCCTCTACTGGGGACGTCCCCGCAACCAATGTACATGCCCTTGACCGGAATCGAACCCGGGACCTTTCAGTCCGCAGACCGACGCTCTACCACTGAGCCAAACTGGTTTCGGCAGGACCTCACCTTTTTAAAGGGCAAGGATGAGTTCGGAGAAAACCGGCACTGCCTCTGCGGCAGGCAGAAAGAGGGCAAGGGATCTGGAGCGAAGGACTCCAGGGTGAGAAGCAGCGTCTTGTTCTCTGTCCGAGGAGACGGGCATGCAGGAGAACAGGCTGGCCTGCTCTCTGCCTTGCCCGTGGGCATGGGTGCCCAACCATCCTCCTGGGACAAGTAGCAGGAGGATCACTGAGAAGTCGCATTCTGTCTTCGTCAGCATGTGGCGGGGGGTCCAGGGCCGGGCCTTCTCTGTTGAAAGGCCCTGGGACAGGCACAGTCCTGGGACTATCTCAGTCACTGCATTGTAAACACAAAGTAGTTTCGGCAGGGCAAAGCCAGGCATGGGCTTCCGTCTGAGCCTGATGATGCAGTGATTGTGCACTAGTGTGACTCAGTGGCTGGAGCTGTCAGCCACCCAGCTGCTGGTCCTGTCCCCAGGGCCATAACGCTACAGAAGCCCTGGGCGGGTAGGAGGAGACCTGACTTCTGGTTCCATTTAGCCCCACTCACCCTGCCCTCATGGACCCCTCCCCTGTCAGTTGGCCAGGTCGGGTTGATCAGCTCTTGCTTTTTTTTTTTTTTAATTGCATTTTGTTTTATTCTAGAGTCCATGTTTTGAAAGATTTTTTTTTCAACCAAGCTGCATGAATAAAGCTATTTTTCCATTTCTGATCAAGTCTGTGCAAGAAAACAGGATGTTAGTTAGCATATGGGGTTTGAGATGGGGAGCTGTAGCTGGTCCTGTTGCTTTACTGTAGGAGTCCATGGCCACAGGGCTGTCAGTTCTCCGATGGGCCTGGGATCTGATGAATCTTGAGATGCTCTGCATTTTTCCTGGAGCCTGGAAGGTGCCTGCTGGGGTGAAAAAACCAACTGTGGGGCAGGATAGGAGGCCTGGCTTTCTTCCCCCACAAGTTCTGTCCTTTGCTGTGGGCTCTCACCATGGTCACTTAGGGGAGGGAAGAAGGGGTGGTCAGTGGACCCCTGGGCCCCATAGCCTTGCCAGTCAATCCAACCCATGCTCCTGAATGCCCTGCTCTTCCAGGCTGTTCAGCAGCAGAAGGAGCTTTGAAAGAACAGATCTGCTCAAGTTACTTCCTTGCTCACATGCCCTTCATGGCTCCCTACTGCTCTCAGAGTAAACACCGGCATCTTCAAACCAACTGCCCGCCACCTCTCCAGCCTCCTCTCCCTCGCCGGCTGGCCCAGCCTGGGTTCTGCAGGTGTGGAGTCAGGCAGGAAAGGATGGGCTGCAAAGAGACTGGTGGCCAGGGCTGCACTGCTCATCTCAAATGGCGGAGGCTTGGCTGTAAGCCTGGAGGACATTCCGGAATGCAGCGAGCAGGCCGGCATTCCCGACGCCCGTGCACTTGCATGGCGCCGCCAGGAGAGGGCGTGCGAGCAGCAGCTGTGGGCGGGGCCGGTGGGGGCCAGACCACTGTGGGGGCGGGGCCTTTTGCCAAGCAACCTGCATCCAAGGAGAAGCTGCGAGCCAGCCTGGCTGCAGGAATAGGTTTCTGCAGCTGGGCCCTGACGTGACTGGAAGACCTGTATTCCTCCAGGAAAATAAAAATGATAAGCCTGTAGGCTAGGCCAGGAATTTTCAACCTTTTTCATCATGGCACACAAATTAATTACTAAAATGCTACAGCACACCAAAAGACACATTTTTGGCTGGTCTTACAAAAAATGTGTAATTTTGATTTATTCACACCAGATGACTTTGTGTTGACTGTTGTCATTTTAATATTTGACAATCTCAGGTGAAAGAAGTCAGAGTTTCTGACTCAATAGTCAGGTATTGCAGGTTGTCAACCTTCTTTCAGCAAGCCACCATGTGGTCACCAACCTGGCAGCCATTGTCTTTGCACTGCCCTGCCTGCGAAATCAATGCCCTCCTATCTTTGTCTTCAGACACCAGCCTGAACCTCAGCCCCCGCATCCCATGACCTAGTCCCCTCCTCTCCGTTCTGCACTTTTGCACAGGCTGAGTCTTCTGCCTCATCTCCTTCTGCCTTCACCAGCTCATCCCTCACTCATCCTTTCCGACTAAGGCCAGGCACCCTCTCCCTCCAGGCCTCCTCCGCCTGTTATTAGGAGGCTCTGCAGGAACTGCCCAGGCCCCGCCCCGCCCTCTGCCACACTGACCCCACTGAGTAATGTCCCTCCTGCAAGCCTGTGGGCTTCCTGGAGGCAGTGGCTTCATTTGTCTTCGTGTCCCTGCTTGTGGAGCTTCGCATTGACTAGGCCAGTAGTTACTAAGTGGCTGTTGCAGAATAAAAGGCCGATTTCTGGGCCATCGTGTGGGCTTTTGGGTGGAGGGTTCACGTGCTCTGCCTCAGGCCCCTCACACAGCGCCTTTGCCTCGCATTCTGGCTCTGTCTGCGGGGCCCCGCACCGGAAGCCAGCCCTCACCGGAACGATGCCAAGTGAAGCCCGGCACCCTTTCCTCATCGGAGCCTCACAACAGCCCAGGGAAGACACGGGTCGTCACCTCTATTTTATGGGGGAAAGAGACAGAGGGAGAGTAGTGGTCCCAAAGCCACACAAATGACAAGTGGCCCAGGGCCTGCAGAGAGCAGCATACATCCCCGGACACCCGTTCTAGAGTTCTGAGCATCTGTTTTGCCCCGAGTTTTCATCTTGACGTTTTGAACACGGACCACGTGAATGCACCCTAGATTCTGGGCAGATTCTCTAGGGAGACTGGGGAGAGCTGCCTCCAGACATTCGCCTCCTGAAGCCACTGCCCACAGCACCAGCCACAGCACACACAGCCTCCGGCCACAGCGCACACAGCTCCGGAGCCAACGCTCAAGCGGGCGGGCGTCACGGTGATCAGCGAGGGGCTCCCCGGCTCCCCACAGCCCCGCTGCCGCTGGGCCGCCAGGCGGCTCCTGTGGCCCGAGGGGAGCAGCGTGTCAGAGGGCCCGAAGCCTGAGAGAGAAGCCCTCCCCATGGTGCTCTCTGGATCCCGGGAAAAACATCCCCCTCTGGGCCTGGGGCCGGGGAGGAGCTTCTCCCTCTGACGCCCTGAGGTTTCTTTCTTTTTTAAAAAAATATATTTTTTATTGGTTTTTTTACAGAGAGGAAGTGAGAGGGACAGAGAGCTAGAAATGTCGATGAGAGAGAAACATCGACCAGCTGCCTCTTGCACAATCCCCACCGGGGATGTGCCCGCAACCAAGGTACATGCCCTTGACCAGAATTGAACCTGGGACCTTTCAGTCCGCAAACCGACGCTCTACCACTGAGCCAAACCGGTTTCGGCTCTTTCTTTCTTTAAAAAAAAAAGATATATTTTATTGATTTTTACAGAGAGGAAGGGAGAGGAATAGAGATTTTAGAAACATTGATGAGAGAGAAACATGGATCAGCTGCCTCTTGCACAATCCCCACCGGGGATGTGCCAGCTACCAAGGTAATGCCCTTGACTGGAATCAAACCCGGGACCTTTCAGTCCGCAGGCCGACGCTCTGTCCACTGAGCCAAACCGGTTTCGGCAGCCCTGAGGTTTCTGAAAGCCCTTCCACTTCTGGACGCCCTGGCCTTGGTGGGCCTGGGCCTGGGCCTCTCGTACTGGGAGCTGCTCAGAAGCCCAGGAACGAGCCAGGTGAGCGAGCGGCAGGCGGGGGGCGCGGACGGTCCCCGAGCGGAGCTGCATCCGGGGCAGACGCACAGCTAGCTCCTCGCGCCTTTGTGCTACGTGTTACGAGCAGCAGATCGCGAGATGCTAACGTCCTATCATGTCAGCTCTGTGTCTGAGCTAGCACAGGCGCTGGCCTGTCAGTAATTAGCCTCTGGGCGGTGTCTTTTCTTCAAACACCCCCCCCCCCTTTTTTTTAAATTGGAATCAGAACATCCTTTTGCTTCCTTCCTTCCTTTCTTCTTGCTGTAGACGCAGTCCATGGAGCTCTCTGTGGACATGGCTGTTTCTCCACATTCACGGGCAATTAATTCCCGGCCGTAATCCAGTCCCCCAGCAAACACCAGCTCCTCCTGGGAAAGGACGAGAGGATGACACCTCCTTCCCATGCGGGTGAGACGTACCTGGTTTTGAAATGCCGGCCATTTCAATGGTTGGCCTAATAAGTAAGCCGTGTTTTCCTAACATCTGGCGTTTGTATTTGTTTTCCCATTTTATTTATTTATTTATTTATTTATTTGTTTGTTTGTTTGTTTTTACCACCACCGCTGTTAACGCCGTCTCGGGGGATGTCGACCACCTCAGCAGTATCAGCAGCAGCCATGCTCTGTCCTCAGCCAATAAGCAGCTGTTTGGGCGAACATGGGCCGG